ATATGCCAGTTGAAAGAGGATATAAATATTGTTTAACAATTGTAGATTTGTATACAAGATATGCATGGGTTAATCCTTTGAAAACATGCTTTTGAAACGATCATGACTCAATCTAGCAGAAAACTACAGAAATTATGGGTTGATGCTGGAACAGAGTTTTATAAGAGAAATGTGAAATCTGGCTTAAAAAAAAAACAGTTGTTGTCGATGAATACAATAACAAAATACACTCGTCTATTGGTGTGACGCCAACACAAGCATCGAGTAACCCGAATATCATAAAATTCATCAACACTCGAAACAACTTTAAAAACGAGATAAAAAATTCAAATATTAAATCCAAATTTAAAGTCGGAGATCGCGTTTGTATTTTTAAAATATAAAAGTAAATTCGAAAAAGGTTACGTTGGATACTGGACAAACGAAATATTTATCGTTGATAAAGTAAACACCACATCACCTCCGACATATGAATTAATCGATCAAGACAAAGAACAAATCATAGGTAAATTTTACCGAAACGAACTTAAAAAAATTGACTTTTAAAAATGAATAGTTTTTTTTTTGATAAATATGGAAATGATACAACCACAAACTTTCAAGAAGGGCAAATGAGTTAGATATATCACCATTTTATGCTCTCAGGGATAAGAAAGGTAAATTTTATGCTATAACAAATATACATACTTCCGATCATAAGGGAGTTCATCACTCTGCTTTATACAAAGACTCTTCAAATAACTTATATTTTTTGGATGGAGTCTTTTGGATTAGAACCCACTGAAGAGATACTAAAATTAACTAAACCAATTAAATGTTCTACATTTCAAATTCAAATACCAGGCCAAAAGTTTTGTCGACAGCTTTCTGTTTGAATTTTATATCAGTTGAGTTTGGGAAAACAACAGTTTGAAGAAATTGTAATAAATTTATCTTAATAAAAATCGCGAACAAATTTGGATGAGGTTCTTTACCTAACAGTACAGCGTGGATAAATAAAGCAAAATCTTACATTGTGGATCAAATTGGAGACACTCTTCATGGTGATTTAGATATAAACAATTTCAAAATAAGCAGGTTTAATAAGTTTTATTCAAAAACAATTGGTCAACTAGTTAATAAAACTCAGTTGCAAAATTTAATTTCATTAATATCTAAATTTGATGACTGACAAAAATTAGATATTCAACAATTAATAGATAACATTCCAGATGAAAACAGGAATTAAATGATCTGGAAACTAAACTTAACAGTGAATTACAGAAAGAACTAACAAATATTAAAAACAAATACAGAACATTGATGATAGTGAAATTAAAACCTATGTTCAACAACAAATACAAAATATTGATGATAGCGAAATCAAAACCTATATTCAACAACAAATACAAAATATTGATGATAGCGAAATCAAAACCTATATTCAACAACAAATACAAAATATTGATGATAGTGTTATTCAACAACAGATAACCACTATTAATAACGAAGTTTTAAAACAGGAAAAATATATAGCCGCATTAGAAAAGAATCTCAAGGAAGAAAATAGTTCCAGCGTCCCAGCTCCCGTATACATATCAAGATTTCTTTACAAATATCAACTACTTTATTCTCCTTAACTAGTTAGTTAAGATTCAAATATACATACCAGGTGTAAGATGGAAAATAACTGGAACTTGTGGTATATGAGCTATTGACTGGTCATTAATTAGATCATTATCGTGGAAATTAAGTGGGGAAGTCGTGTGTAACATAGGAGGGTGTTCAACCATAGTAATAACTTTGTCTATTTCATCGGGGTCGTTTGCTGCTTTTGAATTAGAACGCGAGAGACAATCAGCATTAACATTATCATTGCCTTTGACATAATGTTTATCACAATTATATTCCGACATTATAATAGCCCAGCGTTGAACTTTAGCATTGTTCATTTTCGAGGTGAACAGCGATTGTAACGGTTTATGATCTGTATATGGTTAACTGTGATCCTATTAAATAATGGCTCAACTTCAATGTACAATATATTGCAGAATACATTTCCCGTTCAATAACAGGCCATGAAGTTTAAGTTTTGGAAAATTGGTGAGAGACATATTGAATAACTTGTGTAAGCACGCCTCCAATAGCATAATGGGATGCATCCGTATATAACTTATATGGTTTGGATGGATCGGGATATGCCAAAATTGGGGCAGACATTAAATCATGTTGCAACTTTTCAAAGGCTACATTAGCTTCATCAGACCAAATAAATTTAGCAGGTTTCTTTGTTAAAAGTGTGAGTGGATGAGCGATCTCGCCAAAATTGGAAATAAAGGATCGATAATAACCCACGGATCCAAGGAATCCACGAAGGCTTCGAATATTTGTAGGATGTATCATATTCTGAATAGCACTAATTTTATTCTTATTCGGACGGATACCGTCTTTAAAAATTATATGTCCAAGGTATTTGATGTCCAAGGAAATTCGCATTTACCGGGTTTGAGTTTTAATCCGGCCTTTTTTAACCGACAAAAGACATCTTCTAGATGACGTAAATGATCTTCAAATGTTTTGGAATGGATGATAATATCATCAATATATACCTTAACATATTTATCTAGACATCCTTTATGACAGTTTGCATTAGGTTTTGAAAAATACTTGGGGCAGTACATATGCCAAAGGGCAGACGATTATGTTCAAAAAGGTCTTGAAAAGATGTAAAAGCAGTTTTGTGTTTAGATTCTTCATCTACCTCAACATGCCAGTAGCCTGACTATAAATTCAAGCATGTCATATAGTTACACTCACTGAGTTGCATAAGGATATCTGAAATATTAGGTAATGGAAAACTATTTTTCCGCATGGTTAAATTCAACTTCCGGTAATCAATACAAAAACGGTAGGTATTATCGGTTTTCGGAACTAACAAAATTGGACTTGCATATTTGGGTGTGGAAGGACGGACAACACCTGCCTCCAACATATCATCAATTTGTTTGTCAACAATCGGACGTTGAGTTAAGGGTAAACGGTACGGTTTTTGACGTACAGGTGGACTATCGCGGTATCAAAGTGAGCTTTGATGATGTTGGTTTTATCTAGTTCTAAATCTGTTGTTGCCAAAAAGGTTGGTGTATTGCTTGAGGAGAGCAGTTAATTGATACGTTGTCCAGGGGAAATATGAAGAAATTTGTCAGAATCAAAAGGAAAATTATAATTTTTTGAACTTTTGGGTTTATCCATGTCGGGTAACGCATCCAAAGCATTTATTTCGGGAAAATGTTCAATAGTCCCTAGAACAGCATTTTTAGGAAATCGGAAATTATATTCAGTAGTATTTTGAATTTCAACCTGTATAGACAGTGAATCAGTGCAGTGAATACTGTTAATAATAATAGTCAATAATCCAGGTTGATTGATGAAAACATTTGCAATTTCTAAAGGTGTAAAAAGAATATTTGTATTGCGAAAACGGGAAGGAATTTTGCAATTAACATGACAAGACGAATACGGTCGAATATGATGATTAGCGGACAGTTTGGCCAGGTGGATTTAAGGTACAGAATTTTTTGTGGTGTTTAAAAGGGTGATAATTTCAGATTTGCAATTTAAATGTATTTAATATTCTACAAAATAATTAAAATTGGTTTGTTTCGATTTTCTTTATGAATCTCTCACTTTAACCCATATTTCATGAGCAACCAATTCGGCAACGGCGACAGAATGCGTCACCTATTTTCGTGTACAATGTTTAGTCTATAAATAAGTCGAGAAAAACACGTTGTATGGATACCGGGTGGAATAATTAACTTTCTCTTAGTATTTATCTTTAATATCAATTCATTATAACTAGTGAAAATTGAAATTGGTTGAAACAACCACGATTTTTTAAAAAAAATAGTGACTGACAAAATAAGATACGTAGCGTGATTTATTGCTAAAAATCACTGAAACAACATAAGAATATGGCCCGCTATGTGTTCCATAGAAATTTTCTGCTGACACGGAATCCGCTAGTTGATCACGTGACTTCAATTGTTGGACTACATTCTAGCAGACGACACTTGGAATTCCGATTACCGCTTGGGATTATAAGGAAATTCGGCCGATAAACAATGGTGACGTTTGGTAATAACTGAAATCCGCCATTTTGTATTTTTATAAAGTATACATTAATACATTTTAAATTGCTTGCAACTACTGGATTCATTCTACTAGCTGACATTGTACAGAAAACCCATGTTAATCAAAAAAAGCAAGGAGGTCACGCGAGGTCGCACATGTAAATTATTAATCCTTTCCGGAAATGCACGAAAAATACGTTAGCACGAAATTAGGTTACTTGACTGGTACTTTAACCAATTTCTTAAATAGAACATCTTAAATAGAGTATCTTAAAATTATGCTTCGTCATTTTAACATTCAAAGCGTATAATTCTGGACAAACATTGATTTGAAAGCTCAAATCTGGCCAGTGAGCTGTGGACACTGTTACTGATTGGCTTAGCAAAAAAATACCCGTTTCTGGGACTAGTGTATGATTGATCAAAAAATGACGCAACTGTCCCTTTAAACCTGTAGTGGCAATAACTCAAAATATGTTTAGAAAAATCGTCAAATTTGAATCTGACCAAGATATTATTATAACATCGAATTTCAATTTAAATCGATGCAAAAAGTAGTCTCTATAATGTTCACAAATAAAATTTAACACGATTTAACTAAGTCAAGGGCAATAACTCAAAAAACGTTTATCGAAAAATCATCAAATTCAACCTTGACCAATATCTCATTGTAATAGATTTAAAATCTCTGTTGTGATCACAAACAAATTTTGACAAGTTTTTACTAAGTCAAGGTCTATAACTCAAAAACGGTTTATCGAAAAATCGTCAAAGATGAACTTGACCAAGAACTCAACAATATAAATGATCACACCAAATTTCATTAATATCAGATATTATATAACATATGCATACATCCTAAATATATTGAAATAAAGAAAATAAGAGAACGTGTTTTATAAATTTATTGCATGTCTGAATCCATGTTGATTTGTTCAGGAACAGTAAAGTCAATCTCCTTCTCCACTAACTTACAAAATGTGGAATAGTCCTCAGCTGTCATAGTTTTTGAGTAAATTTGAACAAATTTGGCATCGGTTGTGTTGATGATGTCTTTAAGCAGAGTGTTTGTGCTTGTTTTTGAATCTTTCTTCCTAGGTTTTTGAAACAATCCAGCACGTTCCAGAAAAGTATGTCTTTTTTTCACATGTTTCAAAGAATGTCGGAAGAGTGAAGCTGATATCATGTGATGTTGAGACATGCCCATACTGTAGTGTACATACATGAACTTTTCCTTAATATCCGTAATACTCTCAGTTATAATCAAAGGCATAGTTTTCATCAATCGCAAGGAATGCTCTGAGCTGAATAACTTCTTCAATTCATTAAAACGGGTATTCAATTCCTTTACACTCACATGAATAATGTCCTGGTTTTTAAGAAAAAGGTTCAAAATTTCCTCATTTGATAATCCAATTTTTCGTAAACATTCAAAGCAAGTTGCGATCTTTTCAGGATTTGTGTCGTGGAAATTGTTGTTTTTGCCAATGAGCATTACCACTTTTTCATTTTCTATGCCATAGGATTTCAAAATATTTACTAATGGCACTAGTGTCTTTGACTGAACAAGGACTGGTTTTTTCACAAATAAATCAACTATTTCATCAGGATGAGCCTCAAGGCTGAGCAGTATTTCAACATGTTTGGAGAGCAATGTTTGGGGAATGGTAGAGACCATGACATCAATTTGGGATGTTCGCTTCAACACTTTGGCAACTAGACTTGATAAGTTGGAGTCCTTTCTAATAGTTGAACAGCTTAAATTGCGATCATAACGAAAAGGTAATCTTGACACAAATACTGTTCTTATATCTGAACATTGTAACGTTCTCCTTGACATAAGACAGAAGGCGATAGAATATAACTTAGACATGGGGAAACTTTATATTATGCTTTGAAAATGGTAGTTTCTTTGAACCTCAACAACATCAATCTGAAATAGAAAAGGCAGAAGTTTACTGCAGGCCTACTGAACATTTTTCTTATTGATGAGAATAGAAATGTAGGTGTCATTTTGTGTAAACTACAATTCCTGAAATTTAAAGAACCAAAGGAAAACCAAGCCATCTCTGTCAGTGCAAAAAATTCAAAAACCATGTGCAGAAATCCAGAGAAATGCTTTCAAAACTTCTCGATATCGAAACCACCTAAGACTGATGTTAAAAAGAACTCTAAATTGTTTGCTACCCTAAGAATGAGATTGATATATTACTATTACTATGTTGGAATTATTTCACAGTGACATTGTCATTGCAACCCCCTCCCTGTCCTAGCGAGGTCTGCAACGGATAGTAAGTCTGCATAGTTCGTGTAATTCTAAAAACAACTTGACCAAAAATTACTTTAAAGAGTAGTAGATCTTTGAAAAATTTGACAAAGATACACTTATAGGACCCAAATTGAAAACATGAAATTTCTAGGCCATGCCAAGTTCATCAAATACAATTTACTTTCAGTTTCTCTAGGGACCATACCTTAAATCGAACCGTTAATGACGAACTGATGTTTTTTTTTAATCTCAAAACTTCATTAAATTAGCCTATCCTTTATTTGAACCCGGTGAAATGAAGTAATGCTATCAATGACATCTAGGTTTGTGAAGGTGTCGGAAAATAAATGAATAAGTTCAAATTACTTGTCCCGAGCAAGATGGCTGCGCCCTTCAAGCGTGTGTTCCGGTCAAACTTTAGTTGTTAATTTGTCTACAAACTGTTCATTTTTCTTCAAATTCATTAACATAGAAGTATGCACAAGTTAAATTAATTCTCCTAAGTTTTGTGTCATCCCAGTAAAATTGCAAGGAATTATAATCCCTGTCTAGCCTGATCTGTAAACTGGAAAGTCTCGTCGAGTCTTTTCACAGCCGATGACGGACGAACATAAATAATTTTCGTTGCATTGGTGAATTGAATGTCACTAGGTCTAGGCAGGCTATCTTATTGCAAGCTTATTAACTAGGCTACTTGAGAACTTAGTCTTATGGCCAAGGTCCATTGAAATTTGCCGTGGCCTATATTGGAACCCCGGTCTTGTCTAGCAAATAGCAAAGTAATTTTTTATGTCAAGTCAAGCTTCTTTTCCACAATTTTCAGAATTTCCAATTACTCATGCGAATTAAAAGAAATGAAATCTTCTGTAATCATTCTGTACTATTAAATTTGGGAATCAAATCCAAATCCTAAATTTAAGATATATACAGTCAAGTAACCTAATTAAATTTTGTGCTAACCTATTGTTCGTGCATTTCCGGAAATAATTAATAATTCACATGTGCGACCTCGCCTGACCTCCGCATTTGCTTGTTTCGATAAACATATGTTCTCTCTACAATATCAGCTAGTAGAATGAATCCAGTAGATTCAAGCGAGGTAAAATGTATTAATGTCTACTTTGACAAATACAAAATGGCGAATATCACTTATTACCAAACGTCACCATTTTTTATCAACCGAATTTCCTTATAATCCCAAGCAGTAATCGGAATTCCAAGTGTCGCCTGCTAGAATGTAGTCCAACGAATGAAGTCACATGATCAACTAGCGGATTCCGTGTCAGCAGAATATTTCTATGGAACACAAAGTGGGCCATATTTTTATATGTTGTTTCAGTGACTTTTAGCAATAAATCATGCTACTATCTTATTTTGTCAGTCACAATTTTTTTTTAAAATCGTGGTTCTTTGAAAGAATGTTCACTAGTTATAATGAATTGATATTAAAGATAAATACAAAGAGAAATTAATTATACCACTGGGTATGCATACTCGACTTATTTATAGATCAAACATTGTAGAGAAAATAGGTGACGCATTCTGCTACCGTTGCCGAGTTAGTTGCTCATGAAATATGGGTCAAAGTGAAGGATTCATAAAGAAAATCGAAACAAACCAATTTTAATTATTTTGTAGAATATCTGAGGAAACATCTAAGACATAACAAAAAAATTTTGTTTTTTTAACTTTGACGATATTTGGTGTTGAATCCTTATATGCACGAAAATAGGTTACACCACTGTACCATATTCAAATTAAATTGTATTATTATCATCCATATTATAATTGCACAAACAATACTCTCTCACTAGAGGTTAAGCCTCGCACAGCTGTGTTTGAAATTGTTAAATATTGAAAGAACAGGTATTTAATAATAATCATTTGAATATAGGACATACCGGTACCGGTATATTAAATTTTTAGATTTTATATAGACAGTGTAAAAGAAGAAAATGAGATTTTCAGTGGTATGTTTCTCTAAACCTGCAAGAACTAGGTTATTTTGGTATCAGCTATGGAAAAGAGAAGGAATCTACAAAGAGCCTTTACCCCAAATTCCTAATCATATGAGAAAACAAAAAGGTAGGATTGATTGTCTGTATGCCATGCAATGGAAAATGGTCTTCTGCTTCTAATGTGATATATCATTAGATTGACCAGATTTGATTCACTTTATTTTGTCATTTATTCTTATATCTGGGCCAGTCTCAATTCAGAGCTTTTCTACATACACACAATATCTTCAAACTGAAGAGTACTGGTACTTGTGTTATTTATTAGAAACATCAATTAAACAAGGACATTTTTGACCAGGAACAATACAGCCAGACATCTTTAATGAAATAAACAGTCATGTAAATTTTCGCTGACATGTCAAATGCAGTAATCTATGTTTTGAAATCCCTTGAATTCTGGTACTGAATAGATATATTGTTATAAGACAAAACTGATACAGTCCAATAATGAATTTTGAGGTGTCAAATTTATATTTATTATTCATATGTGGTATACTGTTTGGTATATAAAGATATTATAGCTTTATACCAACTGATAGATTTCAATTTGAGATATTCATATCACTTTTCAGAATTGAAATATGATGTTCTGTTCTCCTACAATTCAACAAACACATATAATACCACTTTAGCCTGTTTGAACCTTATCACATGCAGATATCATTGGTAATAACTGCTCATAAGACTGCAAATAACAGCCTGGAAGAGACAACAGAACAGTGGCATTGTTTATTTTTGTTAGATTGTAGGAGAACAGAAAGGCAGAGTTTACTTTTAATTTTTTTTTTTACCAAGTTTTTTGAATATTTGACCGTGAAATCTATTATAATCTTTGTTTCAGAAATTCCCATCATAGATCCATTGAAAGAAGAAGCAGTGAAAGAAGAATGGAAACCTCCAGTGCCAGATGATTTACAATTTAAACAAGCCCCAACTGTTAAAGAATACCCAAATTATAATGAAAATCCTGCTTATATTTATATTCGTTCTTGTAGACTAACAGAGGGTAATTAATTTATATGTCCTAACATTATTTTGTTGGCAAATGGAATTTATCACTTATTTTTATGTGAATCTGATCATAAGATCAAGGTTTACATTGCAGTTTGTGTCCCCTCTTGCGATCCAATATTACCTTGGATTAGCAAAAATTAACTTCAAAAACAACGTCCTTCGAATCCAATCAAATTGTATATTTGAAGGTTTACTACTGGAACATTCTAAATTGCTACTGAAATTCTGTGAAATGCAAATCAAAATTTAACTCGATTAGCCAAAACCAGAATTTGGTGTGATAAATTGCTAATAAAATTTTCAGTCGAAATTGAACCCTGATCAGATAGCTCTGATAGTCTCAGTGTGTTGTTAGAAATAGACAGTAATGTAATATTGCATTTGACATAAGCACACTTCCCTTTGACATTCCAAAATTATATATCAAAATAACTAAAGCACAAATTCATTTTAAATTTATGATTGTTATTTTGAACCTGTCATTCCAATTCATGTGAATAATCAATGAATTTTATTTACCAATGAGTGAAAACATTGCAAGAGCCTACATTCAATCGACTAATAAATGTCCCATGGATGTAAAGGTTGTGCAGGTAAAATGCCATTTGTTTCCTTGTGAATGATCAATGAGATAGAAGGTTCAAATATGATTTGATTTGGATGCAACTTGGTTTGCATTTTGCAGCTATTTGAATAAAGGCATTTTCTGGAATATATAATTTACATGATTATATTTAAAAATTATTTTTACCAAAATTAATTGTATTATTTAAGTTGAATCTTATATGTGTATAACTTGTATATTCCCTAAAAAAATACCATAATACGCTCTGCCTACTAAATGGCAATCCAAGATGCAACCTTTATCTTTTCAGGAATGAAGCAAGCATGTATATTAACCAAATCTGTCCAATGTGAAGGTTTCCCTCAGCCCATTCAATCACTTATTGGTAAAATACATATTGATAATGAAGTAAGTATTACTCACGGTATACATATTGATAATGAAGTAAGTATTACTCCTAGGAAATATAAATATTGATAATGAAGTAAGTATTAAGTAAAATACATGAAGATAAGGAAGTAAGTAATACTCCTAGAAAATATGCATATTGATAATGAAGTATTAATTCTAGGTAAAATACATAAAGATAATTAAGTATTATTTCTAGGTAAAATACATAAAGATAATTAAGTAAGTATTATTTCTAGGAAATATACATATCGATTAGACAACAAAGTATTTCTCTAGGTAAAATACATATTGATCACGAAGTAAGTATTACTTCTAGGAAATATACATATTGATAATGAAGTAGGCATTACTTCTGGAAAATATACATATTGATAATAAAGTAACTATTATTTCTAGGTAAAATACCTAAAGATAATGAAGTAAGTATTATTCCTAGGTAAAATATTTAAAGATAGTAAAGTAAGTATTATTCCTAGATAAAGTACATAACGATAATAAAGTAAATATTATTTCTAGGTAAAATACATAAAGATAATGAAGTAAGTATAAAATACATAAAGATAATAAAGAAAGTATTATTTCTAGGTAAAATACATAAAGATAATAAAGTAAGTATTATTCCTAGGAAAAATACATAAAGATAATAAAGCAAGTATTATTTCTAGGTAAAGTACATAAAGATGATGAAGTAAGTATTATTTCTAGGTAAAATAATAAAGATGATAAAGTAAGTATTATTTCTAGGTAAAATAATAAAGAAAGTATTATTTCTAGGTAAAATAATAAAGTAAGTATTATTTCTAGGAAAAATACATAAAGATGAATAAAGTAAGTATTATTCCTAGGAAAAATACATAAAGATAATAAAGCAAGTATTATTTCTAGGAAATATCCATATTGATAAGTTATAAAGTATTTTTCCTAGGTAAAATACATATTGATCAGGAAGTGCCAATTGATATTATTCCTAGTATTGTATAGAAAAGGAAATTACCGGTATTTATTGTAATTATATATACCTATTATTGTAAAGAATTCAACATTTATATTATTGTAATGTTTGGTCGTAGTCCTATATTAAAAAAAAAAAACAGCATATACTTATAGATAAGGAAACAATATCTTATATCATTATTTTTCTTCAAGGAGAAACTTTTACAGAGATGTATTATGCAGTCACAAGTCTGGGACTCCACACATGTAAAATTACCCAAAAGAGGAGATCTTGAAAATGTGGGGTTTAAGTTTACAAGAGAATATGGTATACCTAGAGCTCGCAGAATGTAAGTATTTATTTGGTCTTGTTGTGAATAATTGGGACCAAGATATCTCCATTGATTTTCTACTTGCTGGAGATAATACCCTCCAACATTTATATTTGAGACTTCCATCACTGGTATGGTAAAATTGAGTGAGATTACAATTAAAATGTTATTTTTAGGAATTCTCTTGTTACTTTTTCTAATAACATATGGTGTCACCAGGACGAATTTCCAAATTCCCGGGAAGTCACCGCTTTGTTTTCTATTATGATTTGAGGTAAATGCCGCCAAGAGATTAAAGATGTTAAGACCCCATTAACGGTGACAAAAATTCATGAAAATTTTTACATTAATAATTGTTTAACGATGTCACTCACTGTTTTGGCATCTGTGATTAAAATATTGAACTTTATTCACCATTTAATATCTATAGACGTGTATATCAAGGGAATGCATATTCATTCAAAATGGCAAACGCACAGCTCGCTTACGACTTCTTACCAACATCACGAAACGGCCGTTACTTGGTAGTAGGTGGTTACAAGTATTGTATAAATAAAAGGAAGACTAATAGTGATGTTTGGAAATGTACTTCCAAAAAAATATGCAATACAACTGCAATCACATCTAACAATATCTTGATAAGAGTAAATGGCGACCACAACCATGAAGATGCTCGCATGGACATTAAGGTTTATGGCTGGGATGAATGGAACCACTATGGATCCGAAGCTCCCAGAACAAATAACAATTTAGAAGGTCGCGTCAAAAAACTTGTTGGAAAAGCGCATCCCTATATATTTGAAATGATTAATTTTTTGAAAGAAGAACAGAATGGTTCAGTATGCCAGTGGTCAACAACAACCTCCCAAGAAACGAAAGTACAAGACCCTCGAAGTTTCAGAACAGAGAACAATTCACTAATAATGATGAAAATGTGTTTGAATTTGCTGATTCCGTTTCTCATTTGTTAAAATCAAAGTAGTTTGTTATATGTCATTTAAATGTTAAATGAATTATTTGAAGAAATTTTTGCTTAATTAAGTAGGCTTAAGTCTGCTAAGATAACAAAAAATAATCCTGTTGTTTTCAAAATCCAGATTTTGAAAAAATTCCTGGGGCGTCACCATTTTTCGTTTCTGCAAAGTTAATTATGACCCAATTAATTACTAACTTTAAATTTCAGAGTAATTCATTAGTTTATAACTTTGAATTTCAGAATAATTCATTATTTCATAACATTGAGTTTCACAGTGATTAATTAATAACTATCTTTAAATTTCACAGTGATTAATTAATTCCTAACTTTGAATTTTAGAGTAATTCATTATTTCATAACATTGAATTTCACAGTGATTAATTAATTACTAAGTTTAAATTTCACAGTGATTAATTAATTCCTAACTTTGAATTTCAGGGTAATTCACTAGTTTAAAAATTAAATCAGTGACACAGTGCTTAATGTTTATCAATGGCACATTTCTTTATAACTTTGAATTTTAATGATTCATTAGTTCAGTGACCTATTAGTTTATTACTTTGAATTTCAATCATAATACATCAGTAAATTGATCCAATTACTTAAAACTTTCAATGTCTTCATGACACTTCAGTTTATAATTTCAAAATTTAACGCGGGTTAATGGCTGAGTTTCTTGGAGAGTAGACCATGCACAACCAGCACTCCACCAAATACATGGTAGGAAATGGCAGCAGTAGATTCCTTCACTCCCACCCCCCTGGCAATAATGCCTCCCAATTTTCTTCCAAATCCTCCCTTGTTGTGAAGTACTGCATTAGTGTATGATTTTGTATTTCAGGGATGTGTTTGTTCAAGGTTTGATGAGGTTATGTCAGTTAACATCTCTACAGTATCCTAGTGTCTTAACAGATAGATACATAGTGTCTGATTCATACCTCACTTCAAATTATCTCTTTAAGGGTTAGTATTTGTTCATGAATACATATTATTGAAATCACTTTTTTGAAGATTTTGCTTCTTTACTATGTTCTTTATACTGCCTCAATATAAAGCAATGAATAAACCAAAAGGCTTCAAATGAAACAGAAAAAGTTTTTATTGAAAAGAATATTAATTTACATTGAATGTTTAGTGAATGTGAAAGGGTAGTGTTAATCAATTTCTTTGATACATATAAACAGAAAATGGGTGAAAATGATTTATTTTATTCCCTTTGATTTGTAATATGAATATATTTGTAGAGAAAAGAGTGAGTTTTGAAGGTAAATGTAAATATTTAGTATTATCTGACAGACCAATGTTAAGATTTGCTGATGTCGACCAAGTTGAAGAAAGTAAGGAACATGAACTGCCTGATATGTATCCCATATCACCTTTAATTAGTCTACAGAAACGTCATGATTATACTCTACAGAACATAGCAGGTATTGTCAAGCTTAGAAATGAATAAATGGAGTTTTACGTCCTAATTTTCTACAACGTGTGAGCTAATGAAGACAGTCAAACTAAGATATTTATGCACGAATTTGAGACCATTCAGAACAGGTACATGAACAGCATGTGCCAATTGTAGTATCAAGGTTCTCAAGCCTCGAGCTATGCAATTTTTTTTATTTTTCAAAAGTTTTCTGAAAGGAGAACCCCCCAGACCCTACATACCAAGCTTGGCTCTTTTGAATTTTGAATCTCAACCCAGTCTCCCTTATTCCCCAGTAACTGTTGTACCCCTTTGTACCAGGTGTTTTGTCATTGAAACAATTTAAGCAAGTATTACATAATGTTCATTACTGCCAAACTACTTATTATTGTTTGAATATAATTCCTTTTGGTTGGTGCTCAAATAGTACTAGAGTTGGATGTTGGTTTTCCTTTTGATTTACTTGGTATGACTCTTTCTATGTAATTTGATGTATTTTCCAGGTTTAGAAAAAGATTTTACCCATTCTCATCCACATACAATCTTTCTTATGAATACAAATTTTTGGACAGAAAGTCAGAGACAAGCTTCTGCAATGATGTTTGCATTTGGACATGCTGTAGCTAGTGCCAAAAACCTTTATGGAGTGAGTAAATCATCATCATGATGGTTGTGGGTTCTTATTTTGGTTTGTTGGTGAAAGTCTGATAACCTTGAATAAATCATCTTCACTTATAATTCCAGGCGACCAACCTGTAAACGGGTACGGATAATTTGCAAAGCCATGAGGTTTGATCAAGGATAAGCTGGTAGAAATGATCAAATATGAACCATAGTTGTTTCTTTATTTCTATCTTTATGTCACTGATGACAAAACATCTAAGTTCTTCTACAATCAAAACAAAAAGTGACAGAAATAATGACAGGAAGGAAAAGATAAATTTAAATAAAAAGCACAGTATGGGGTAATAGCACGACCTGGGAGTATCAGACAATGCTACAAGGGGTACATTTAGGGCTCATGGAAAGATATTTGTGTCAACCTGTTGAATGTAGATAGAGTAGGAAAAGGGTCATATGAATTTGAAACTAGTTTGTTATTATTTCAGCCTGAATATTTTGTGAATTCATATCCTCTATTTTTGTATTACAGGAAGATGTAAAAGTTTTACCAGAGCCCGTTTGTGTACAGTGTGTTAATGCATCAGAAACAACTCTTAATTTTACATTTTTTCAGTTGAACACATTAGACTTAAGTAATTCAGATGGAATTAAAAACTTTGTGTGGTTTGATACCTCCAATCATTTATTTCAATATCAGTTACGTCAACCATGGAAAGGACCAGACTATCTGTCAACCATATACCATAGTTTCAATCCTGAAGGATTTCATAAACTTTTAGCTGTGTTCTTAGCTAATACCCCAGAAGCTTATGATCAAAATAATGATAAGATTGAAGCTGTTTCTCAATAAAAAAAAGTATTTTATGAATGAATTCGTCAGTTTTATTTATTCAGAAATTTCTATTTATTTTTGAATATTTTATGAAGGATGGTCAAGAGAATAAATATTTGGTCAAATCCAGGGGCTTTTCAAAACATATACACAAGCGATCTACTGTATTTTGTTTTAAAAGGAATAGTAATCAAAAATATACAAGCCAAAACAATATTGTGCACATTGCTGCTTATATTACTACCCAAAAATAATAATATTAACTCTCGTTAATATATATTTCCTAGAACCCACATAACATTATCAATTAAAAGAATCATAATATAATTATGTATACAAACCTGTTCTTTAATTCTTGCAAAATTTTGTGCTCTTATGCTTAAAAATAACTCAATACCTAGGTGACCATATTTAGCTGGTTCTAACATGACATGGTTGGCCGTTAACACTAATAATGTTAACAAATTCTTTATGTTATTCATGTTTGTGGCATTTCATATACAGCTAATTTAATTTTGGAAACCTTTTTTATGTTGTAACCTACTTGGTCACAGTCATCTTGACTTCTCCACAATGAATTTCCTTATTAGATAATATCATATTATGATGAGGTGATTGAATGACATAAAAGGATTTGCCCTTACAAATTGATAGGGGGGTGGGGTGAAGTCATGAAAGGATCACATACTTTCGAAAGCATCAGTTCTTGTCAGTTAGATTAATCAGATGCACAAATATGAGAGATATATGTTCCTTTAAGCCGAAACATGTCGAATAAAATATTGTTTATTCTCACGATCACGATCAATTTTTCGTTCCCCTTTTAATTTCATACTAATCTTTAAGAAACCAACATGTCGGCCTCCATTCAACGAATGAATGAACTGAAGCAAAGAAGAGAAGATCTTGAAAAAGAAGTAACGGAACTAACCGATGTTTTAGAAACGGTAGAGATAGTTATAAACGGAACATTTATTCACAGCTGTCATGATTAGATTATACAATCAATGCTACTGAGAATGTTTTTTTTTTATTAGTGCTTTGGCTACCGTACATAAATAGCACTTACTATCTGACTACTCTGGCCACATTGAATTTTAAATTTAATTTTTTCTCTCATGTCACAAATATTCAAAATATGATTTTCAAGTGCATACCAATTGTCTTAGAATGCCTTTGGATCCATGAATATATCAGTTTTTGAAAATTTTGCATTCGAAAAGAACAAACTTCTCTCAAAATAATTTTGACCCCTTTCCCTTCCCATTGAGCTATCGATTTGAAACTTAGCAGAGAGGTACTTATATATGTCCTGCATATTCACAGCAAATTTCAGACAGTTCCAACGTTTCCTTCCATCTTAAATTAATTTTCAAAGTGATGTAGTGAAATGTTTCCCGATTATGGCGAAATGGCAGAGGGGCGTAACTCTTTTGTTTAGTCGTACTTGCTTTGCCAAATCATTCAGTCTCGAGTCGTTTCGATCACATTGTCAATTTTTCACAGCGACGTAACGGCTGTAACCGCAATCATTTTCGTGATGCTCTCAAAATTGTCATAGCTCTTTGCTTTTGGCGCTAACGTATTTATTTGAAGATTTACAATGCGATAACAGAGTAATGCATTCTGATTACTCTCAACAATTTTCAGACCGATCCAATGTTAAATCAATCGCCAAAGTCATGCCACGATTCCCCTATTGCTGCATCGCACCCCGATCACTTCCAATCGCGAAATCGACATGAAACGTGGCAATATGACTTAGTAATGTGTCTTGATTACTCACAGAAATTTTCAGAACGATCAGACACCCCATACTATGTTAAATCAATCAAGTCATTTTGTCACGTTTCGTGTCGATAGATCGCGATCAGAAGTGATCGGGGTGGGATGCAGCAATAGGGGCATAGTGGCATGACTTTGGCGATTGATTTAACATACTATGGAGTGTCTAATAGATCTGAAAATTTCTGTGAGTAATCAAATGAAATGAATGGAGTTTTACGTCCTACTTTTCTGCACCATGTGGGCTAATGAAGACGGGCAACGCCATGCAAGGTGCGATGAGGGAAATTTTGCCAGGACAGCGGCATTAGCCTGCTCTTTTTCGATTTCCAACTGTCGAGGGATCCGAAGGTATTATCTCGACCTATGGCGGAATTGAACCCTGGACCTTCAGATTAGCGAGCAAGCAAGAACGACCAGTCATACCACAGTACCCCTATTGCTGCATTGCACCCCGATCACTTTAGAGTGCAATATCGACACGAAACGTGGCAATATGACTTAGTAATGTGTCTTGATTACTCACAGAAATTTTCAGAAGGATCAGACACCACATACTATTGCTGCACCATACCCCAAGCAATTCCGATCGCGATATCGACATGCTCTGTAAATTGCTTTGAGTAATCAAGACACATTATTAAGTCATATTGCCACGTTTTGTGTCGATATCGGGATCAGTGGTGATCGGGGTGCGATGCAGCGATAGGGGCATATAAAGTGGCATGACTAAAGCGATTGATTTAACATTGGATCGGTCTGAAAATTGTTGTGTGTAATCAGAATGCATTACTCTGCATTTATCTTCAAATATATACGTTAGCGTCGAACGGCAAAGATCTATGACAATTTTGAGAGCTTAACGAAAATAATTGCGGTTACAGCTATTACGCCCCTGTGAAAAATTGACAATTTGGTCGAAATGACTCGAGACTGAATGATTATGTCCCCCTGCCATTCCGCCATAATCGGGAAAAATTTCAGTGAGTACATCACTTTGAAAATTAATTTAAGATGGAAGGAAACGTTGGAACTGTCTGAAATTTGCCGTGAATAGTCAGGACATATATAAGTACCTCTCTGCCAAGTTTTAAATCGATAGCTCAATGGAAAGGGAAAGGGGTCGAAACTGCAACAGTGAAAATGACACATTTTGAAAAATTTCTGTAAAATCATAGTTCCAAATAATTTTGTTTTCAATGGTTGGCATTTTCATCAACCCAAAGACAATCTAAGACTCTCAGCAATATTTGGAGATTAATATTTCAGTTCATACAAAAATAATAGCCAAAATGTGATTTAGAATTTGATGTAACCAAAGAGTAGGCCTACATTGTTTTCTCAATGAAGTCAGAGAGTAGTTGAACTTTTCCTTCTGGGAACAAGAGAAAAGACGTGCACACTACTGCAGTAGTGTTGCACTCTTGGCTGTCCTGTTGGGGGTGGCAACCCATTTGGTGAAGTGCATGAGAGAGGATCTAGCTTTCAACAAGTTGATAAGGTCAAGGATAAGAAAGGAAGTTAGCTATGTCTACCTACAACGTGCTTTTTCATGTGATTACCATTCTGTGATGTTGGGATGTCATTTATGGTTATTGTGCTAGTACATTTAGTATATTCAAGATCTATTTTCTGTTCTATGTGGAGTCAGAAGGCCACCTAAGCTAGCTAGAACATTTTCTATTCCTTCTCTTTACTTCATTTCATTGCCGATAATTTTAAATTTTCAGCAAAAAGGTGTAGGTTTAGATGGACCATTAATTGATAATGAAGGGTTTCCCAGGAATGACATAGATGTCTACAGTGTACGCCATGCTAGACATAATATTATATGTAAGTTTTAAACATATTGATGGCCTTTGCTTTCATTTTTCACGCTTAGTGCGTCATTATAATTGTGTTTAGATTTTTACAGGAATTTCTATTTTTGTCAAAATTTCTTCAATGTCACATTGCCTATACTATAAGGTGTATGAAATAGCTTTTTAGTAAGCTTAAAGTAGAATGGATGTGTACAGTAGGTTATGGAGGACAGAAAATTAAGGTACCAATCAATGATAATCCTGGTTTTTGAAGATAAACTTAGAGGGAATTCTTATAATTAAACTATTCAGGAAAGATTTTGACCAATTTGTATGATTTATATTATGTTATATATATGTTATGTTTTACAAGAAATATTTAAGAATTCTTCACATTTGGCAGTCAAATCTATAATTGAACAGAGATTTAGTTTGTTTCAATATCGCTACCGTCCGTCTGTTCACAATGGGCTCATGCTCACTGTACAGGCTACAAACAATGATCAAAGCTGCTGGTGGGCGTATCTTTAAATATTGAATATGGATAATGTTCCATTATTATTTAGGTTACAGAATTGACATGCATAATAATGTCCTCAAATCATGGCTTACAATTGGAATCACAAATAGATAAAAATGGAACTTGGATTTCAAAGGTTGTATATCGCTACTTTGTAGGTTTGCAAAATGACCATAAAGAGGTGATGAAAGAGATAGAAGAATTATTATATCAGATACATGCTGAAGCCAGAGACAAACAGACCAATGAAGCCATGGATATATCTGTACATAAAACAGTTAGAGAGCAAGAACCATTCGTTAAAGTAGACAGACTAGATCCTGGTTCACCAGCATTTGATGGGGTAATTACTGTAGCCAGCTAATAGATGTTTAGTTCAAGATCTGATTACTTAATTAGGACATACTTTTGTGAATTAAGGACAACAAAGCTTTTCATACGCCCACAAATATATTTTGGGTGTATATTGTAATCACTCTGTCAGTCCATTCACATTTGGCTCGTGCTCACTCTACAGGCTACAATTCTTTACAGATTCTTTTTATTATTTATTTTGTAGGTCAATGTCATATCGTGTCTGACTAAGCGTTTTCACTCTATCAGCTATATTGTGTATCTGGTGCTCACACTACAGGCTTAAATTCTTAATGGATTTTTTTATTTTTATTTTGTGGGTCAATGTCATTATGAAGATGATCCCCATTGATTTTCAGGATGATCTGGTTCTTTTGAAGAAACAATTCTTTGCAGATTCTTGTGATTTTTATATTTCCACATGTAGTATGGAAGCATATTGCTGTCCGTCCGTCTGTTCACAATTGGCTCATGCTCACTGTACAGGCTACAAACAATGATTTGTTCTTGCAATGAAAGCTGCTGGTGGGTGTATGTCACCTTGCTTCACAAGGCTTTCTTTAAATATTAAATATGGATGTTCCATTATCAGTCTATTGTGACACGAACTGCTCCCTTTTTTTCAGACTGTTTGGCCAATCTCTGGGATGTTCCCTGGACTTTGGTTGAGGGATATTTATAAAGGAATCTCATCTCATGATTGTTTTTCTTAGGGTATTCAGGTTGGAGATGAAATTATCAAATTTGGTTCAGTTGAAAAGGAAAACTTTACAGGCTTACCATGTATAGGTACTGTTGTACAACATAGTAAAGGAGTAAGTACACAATTTTACAAATTTGTGATATTGAGATATCTTAAGTATAGTGTGTTATTTCTGTTTTTTAGATATCTGAGGTATTGTGTTATTTGTGATATTGAGATATCAAGTATTTTGTGTTATTTCTGATATTGAGATACCTGAGGTATTGTGTTATTTCTGATATTGAGATATCTGATGTATTGTGTTATTTCTGATATTGAGATATCTGATGTATGGTGTTATTTCTGTTATTGAGATATCTTAAGTATAGTGTGTTATTTCTGTTATTGAGATATTTTAAGTATAGTGTGTTATTTCTGATATTGAGATATCAAGTATTTTGTGTTATTTCTGATATTGAGATATCAAGTATTTTGTGTTATTTCTGATATTGAGATATCTGATGTATGGTGTTATTTCTTCTTATTGAGATATCTTAAGTGTAGTGTGTTATTTCTGATATTGAGATATCAAGTATATTGTGTTATTTCTGATATTGAGATATCTGAGGTATTGTGTTATTTCTGATATTATATATTTACCGCATAATTTTGAAGCTATATGAACAATATCTCTCAGATAATAGCAAACAATTAAAATCAGCATGGAAGATTTTACATAAATACATAAAAAAAATAACCTAATGTTAAAAACTTTATATTTTATTTTAGAAACCATTAAATATAACCGTTTTGAGAGATGGTGAAATAGTCAAATTAACAGTGAAACCTGATAAATGGTCCGGAAGGGGTTTATTAGGGTAAGTACAAATGAGGTAAAGTCTTGTGAATAGGGTTTTTTTGGGGGGTAGATAGAAATGAGGTGAAATATGATAAATGGTCCGAAAAGGGTTTATTAGGTAAGTACAACTGAGGTGAAATATGATAAATGGACTGAAAAGGGTTCATTAGGTTAAGTATGGCTGAGGTGAAGTCTGAAAAACGTCTGGATAAGGTATATTAGGGTAGAAATGAGGTGAAATATGGTTTGGAAAAGGTTTATTAGGGTACGTGGTATTGTTTCTGCGAAGGGTGTGGCACTGTTTTTATAATCTCCAATAATTGGTATCTAGAGACACATCAGTAAACTAAAATGATAATAACAGTGATTAGTCAGCAGAATTGATATCAAGTGATTATGTAATTGGCGATAAGTGATTAATATGTCGGATTATATATATGAATGTTGGGACCACTGATTAGTGTCGTTATTCATGATAGGTCAAGGGCCTCCAGTGAATGTCAGAGTAATCTGGAGTTTTTTAAACGGACATATGAAGAAAATTTATGGGGAGCTAAAAAAGTTTTCAGATTACACAGAATGTCAGAATACTCAGAAGACAGATATCACAGACTATACTGTACTGCAATTCAGTTTACGATGTGTTACCACTTCAAATGCAGTTTTTGATCTTGTTTTTTTTTTCATCTTGATGCATTAACTGGTAACAAAGGTTATTTTAGTTATGGTTATCCGTTTCAACACTAGGTAGAAAAGAGGTGAAATATGATAAATGGTGAGGAAAGGGTGTATTAGGGAAAGTAAGAGTCATGTGAAACGTGATGTGGAAAGGGTAGTAGTTTGATCAAGGGTTTATTAGGGAGAGAATGTAGGAATGAGGTGAAGTCTGATAAATGGTAAGGAAATGGTTAATTAAGGTAAGTGGAAATGATGTGAAAGCTGATAAATGGTTAGAAAGGGTTTATTTTGGTAAGTATGAATGTGATGAAGTCTGATAAATAGTAAGGAAAGGGTAATTAAGGTAAGTGGAAAGCTGATAAATGGTTAGAAAGGGTTTTTACGTTTAATAAGAATGAGGTAAGTGTGATAAATAGTATGGAAAGGGTTTATTAAGGTATGTATGAATGAGGTGCAACGTTTATTAAGGTAAGTATGAATGAGGTGATTTCTGATAAATGAGGTGAAAAGTGTTTATCAAGGTAAGTATGAATGAGGTGAAGAGTTTATTAAGGTAAGTTTGGATGAGGTGAAGTCTGATAAATGATCTGGAAAGTGTTTATTAAGGTAAGTATGGATCAGGTGATGACTGATAAATAGTATGGAAAGGGCTTATTAAGGTAAGTTGAACTGAGGTATGTCTGATAAATAGTATGGAAAGCTTTGCTTGGTAAAAACTAATGTCTTTAGAACGGGACTATCAGAAAAAAATCTGATTGTGATTTAGTTGTATATTAGCATGACAGATTGATAGGTTAATACTGATTCTGTTTTATTTCAGGTGTAATGTTGTGCCAATAAAGAGATGATCTACAACATAAGTCAAGTCACATCATTTCCTTAGGCTATGTCAGTTATCATCTACATCCAGAAATAACATCTTGTTTTATCTAGGGTCATATGAGTTTTCTACCCTTTTTCAATCCTTGATCCCCAGTTAGCTGTAAATAAAATATTGTTATGTTGTTTTAGTAAGCTCAATTTTTTACAAGCATTTATAGTCACATTGCCAATGATATTTCTCTTGCTGATGAGTATTTGAAATCAGGATGTAGACTGGGATTGGTGTCCAGGACTCCGGAACAAACTGACTGTATAGGCTTTAAAAAGAATTAAGAAAGTTAGTAATGCACATGCGCACAACAAAATTCCATATTTCCATCAAATTCAGAATTTGATAATACACTTTCATACTAAGTTTGATGGAAGTTGGAAAAGTTTGTAATGCGCATGCACACAACGCAAATTGAATATTTTCATCAAATTTAGAATTTAATTTTTCATTTGCATACCAAGTTCGATGAAATTCTGATGAGAAATATGAAAGTTATGTAATTAATTGTGGGTATGCCCAGTACTTCTGTAAGCTAGAATTACAGTATAACACGGTTCAATTCATCTCACAGCTTGTATATAAACCATAACCTAAAACATATTAAACAAATATAAGGAGAGGTTATCCTTAAATAAACATTTCTGAAACTTCGATGACAGCTTATTTACAATAATGCCTGAAGAAGCTACATTAGCGAAATCCGGATCGCATATTATTGAGGAGTCCCCTATACCTACCTTTGTTGTTGTGAGTTATTTTTATTATTTTGTATTAAAAAACCTTTATATTATTATATTACTTTATATAATACCCGAGAAGAAATGTATACCATCGTCCAATTCGATACTATGAGAGACATTCAACACCAAACCCACCAGATTTCTTCAACTATCGAGGCAGTTAACAAATTATGGGCAACTTAATGTGGCATTAGCACTTAAGGATCATTACGATTCACAGCTGGCCACCAAAATTAACTTGATCAAAACACAAAATATTTCAGAATCTGACATACAAAAACACTCGATGGAAGCAACAAATTGGACAATAAAGTCATATCGACGACTACAAAAAGAAACAACAGAGCAGTTCACGCGAATCATAGATAATTAGAAAAATAGAAGTGTGGTGGCGGAGGACATGGATACTCCTCGAAGTCCACATACCAACAAAGTTCCAGAGAGAATCGCTGCCACACCAAAACGAAAACGTACGCCATCACCATCATAATTACCTAGCACGTCAACCTATTCACCGACTCCGAACAAAAAAATGAAATGAATGGAGTTTTACGTCCTACTTTTCTGCACCATGTGGGCTAATGAAGACGGGCAACGCCATGTAGGGTGCAATGAGGGAAATTTTGCCAGGACAGCGGCATTAGCCTGCTCTTTTTCGTTTTCCAACTGTCGAGGGATCTTTAACGTGCACAGCCTGTAGCACACGGGGCCTCGGTTTATTGTCCCATCCGAACGACTAGACGCTTTTTCCATGTCAGCCTCTCGTACCTGCATCACTGACAGGGGGAAACCGGGTTGAAAAATCCGAAGGTATTATCTCGACCTATGCCGGGATTGAACCCTGGACCTTCAGGTTAACTCACTGAGCCACCGCTGCTCCGACTCCGAACAAAAGACCTAATACCACTACCGTACCAACAATTTCGTCACCAAACTGATTCTCCCTTACACAATCAACACCACAGAATAAGTCCAAAATCGAACCCAGAAACTCCACAGTTTAAAACTAAAACTACATTCTGAGGACCTCCTCCATGCAAACCCAAGCGCCACGAAAATCAAAAGGATAAAACCAAATGGTCTCTACCTGCATTTGTGAACCCACCCATATCATCGGTTCCTCCAACATCAGTAATATCCCATCTATTGATCCTGATACCCAAGCCGAATCCTTTCCTGGTGCGTGTCCAACTTACACATCATTTGATTTCTAAGAATTTTCCATCTACTATTCCAAAGAAGGTTTTATTCTACATTAGATTGAACAACAGAGACGAGTCTGGGGAATCCATTTTAGCGCAAAACCTGAAGTTCGCCAACGCCACATTTATACATTACCAAAATTTCATAAAAATCCGAATGGCGCGTCGCTAACACCATACCTAAGGGTAGGCTAGGCCGATTATTTCCGACTGTTCCAGCGAAACTTACCAAGTTTCCGAATACATTAAACACGTTTTACTGCCATTAGCTTACAAACATCCGTCGTACTTGAAAGACACTAACAATTTTATTGAAAAAATACAGAAATTAGATATGCCAGGTAACGCTTTTTTCATTTCGAGTATGTACACGATTATTGATAACAAGTCCGGTTTAGACGATGTTCGAAAAGCCTTTTTCAAAAAGCCAAATTCTGATCGTCTAGACAAAGAAATTTTAGATTTATTAGAAATATGCCTCACGCGAAATGACTTTCAATGGAAAAAATCTATCTTCAAACTTCTGGTACGGCAATGGGAAAACGCTTCGCGTCAAGTTATGCGAACATTTTTATGGCTGAATGGGAACGCGAAATCTCATTAATTTCCCATTTCAAACCTCTCTTCTATGGAAGGTTTTTGGACGATATTTATATTATTGGACAGAATCATTGGCAAACTTTTGGGAGTATTTCGAAATTTTAAACAATCACCATCGTTCTGTAAAACTTACAGCAAATATCAAAAAATACTATGAATTTCTTGGATACAACTGTATTTAAAGGACCAAGCTTCACTTAAACAAAAACCTCGATATAAAAGTATATTCAAAGAAACTGACACACACCAACTTTTCTTCAAAACTTCGTTCCATCCAAAAAACACCTTTTGTGGCGTAATTAAATCGCAAATTCTGGGATTTAACAGAATTTGCACAAGAAAGACAGATTTTGATTCGGCTTGCGAACTTGTCTTTAGTAAACTTAGGAAACGGGGTTATTTAAATCGTTGTTTGCACAAAATTAAAAACGACACTCTTTCGACCATTGAAGAGAAAAATAACTCGCGCCCCCCGCCTAACGCTTTCGGTTCTGTACCTTGTGGAGGTTCTAGGTGTCGTTCCTGCGAATACATACACGTTTCTCATGATTTTGAAAACAAGAAAAACGGTAAAATTTTACGGACGTTCTTTCATGCATCGATAAAAACAACATTATGCCTAATTTCCTGTAAAAAATGCGATGTACAATATGTTGGCGAAACCCAATACGCGTTGTGTACTTGTCTAGGCGGTCATCACCTTGACATTCTTCATAAAAAAAATACAGACCAATCGCGAATCATTTCAATTCAACCAATCATTTCATTAAGATCTTCTTGTTATGCCCGTAGAAAAGGTTTGTATCTACAACGACCAAACCAAAAACCAAGCGTTTGCAAAGGGGGAGTTTCTGAATAGACCGATTACAAACAGTTATACCGAACGGTCTAAATATACAGCATGACAATCCTTTCGTTTTCACCTACTATTCTGCAGCTAGAAATGCCTCTGTGATTGTCAAACGCTTTTATAAAGAATAATTCAGGACGAATTTCCTAACATCTAAGCTGTCAAACTATTGAAATGTCTAACTAATGGGGGCCGAGGGACAACTCTCGGCTTATTCTGGAGGTTTCACTTTATTCTAGTTTGCCCTAAATTTATTGAACTTAGGAGAAAATACTTAAAACCCTATTTTTGGAGGAAACCATCCGTTTTGAAGTCAGTAGATTTAAATAATCCAAATCATTACCTGATTTAAAAGGTGTGGGTAAATATCTAAACTGTGCTCTCAAGTGTGGAAACCAGTGATATACTGAAGGCAAAAGAAACGTCACTTGGATGTATAATATATATTTCTTTATTTTCGAATTCTTATATTATGCAAGTAACGACATTGTCAGATGTTTGACAATCATCAAAATTAACAGTATAAACAATGTTTTTGCAAATTGTGAACCTGGACAGGCACCAGAGGACATAACAGTACATGGAGTGGACTAGCCGGTTGATAGAGGCCAATGGTATCTGGGCCCATATCGTTACACAAAGTTCTTCTGCAGTTGTCGGCATTGGGCGCACTTCATTGAGTCGGCGTTGGATCTCACCCCACAAGTGTTCAATTGGATTCAAATCCGGTCTGAGAGCAGGGCAAGGCATAACTTGAATGTTGTGCTGCTGGAGGAAGTGTGGAGTCGGGCCTTGTCCTGCTGTAAGATGTGGTTTCGGTGACAGGCAGAACATGCCAAGATGTGGGGTCTGAGGACTCGGTCAATGTAGCGGGGAGCTGTGATTCCATTACACCTGCCAATATTCTGAAACACCACAGGCCCTACTCTCCGGTCCAATTACACCCAAACCATTATGCTTGGACGAGTCCAGTTCTATGACACAAGCATCAGCATAACTTCGCCCCTACGTCGCCAAACCCTGATTTTGCCATCCTCCGTGGAAACACAGTGACGACTTTCATCGGTGAAGATGATTCTTCTCCATTGCTGTTAACACCAATTCTGATGCTGCCTAGCCCATAGCAGTCGGTGATGATCTCTCAGGATAGGCCCACAAGCAGGACGATGGAAGGAAATGTGTTTGGCAGTGAGGACTGTACGATCACTGATGGCACGTTGGTGGCTGTCAATGGTCATCCGAGATGATACAGTGGCCATTCGAAATCGGTTCTGCAGATGTAGGCGTATCATGTGCCGATCTTGACGACTACTACGTTCGTTGGTGGTGTTGTAGCGATGTTGCAAACAATATATCGTTCTGGCGTTGACATTGAATGCATTTGCAATGACCTGTGCACTCTGTTCTGCTTGCAGTCTTTCGATCGCTTGTTGTCTCCCATTTCCTGATCTTGGCATGGCTGATAAATCGAAATGACGAATGTAAGCCTGACGGTTTTGCTTGTCCACGATATTCACGCGCATCATGATTTTGACGAGACGTTTCAGCAACTAGGTCCCATTTCACTTTTGTAGACTGAAGTTTAAGGCAACAAAAAGGACCGATAGAATGTTAAATCTAAATTAGTTGACTGGAATACGGCAGAACCAGAGTCAGTGACGTTTGTTTTGTCTTTCAGTATATATATGCATACTTCCCATATATTAATGTTAAGTGTAATGACACTAGTTTTCAATAATTTCTTTGTGGTATTTTAAAATCACAGGCCCCGTGTGCTACAGACAGTGCACGTTAAAGATCCCTCAGACAAATTCAGTTTGATCACAGATTCACAGATGTAAATAGAATATCTTAGAAATATTATCAGGTATAATTTACGACGTTTTTGATAATGAGATTTTTTATATACAGTAGTGTAGCGCAGTGCCCTTTTAATTGATCCACGTGTATATATCCTCCTCTATTAACCATTAAAAGTGTTACCATCAATATATATCAATATTAATATATTCATTATATAAAACATATGTTTCCAACCGAGGAATATAAAATAAATTATAAAAAATAGATTTTGAATTTGCACAATATCATATCGCTAGATAACTCTCGATAGATCCTAGTTTAAGGTATTGTTTAAAGGAATTATGCGATTTTCGTACAGTTCTGGCACTGCTTAATGGTGCAGGCACACGAACATTCTTTGTAAGCGATTTTTGTCGCCGACGAAAGTCTTGTCATGACTTTCGAGAGGAAACCAAAAATCTAGAGTAAGTCCTATGTCAATAATCACGTATGTGATCGGAAGGAAAATGAATCTGATTGGATGATGACGCTCTGTCTTGCAGACAATAAAACAACCGGCGACAAATATCAAACTAGTTTGATATTATTAATCCTGTC